AAATCCGTTTGTGTTTTATATTTGTTTATCACGTGATTTTTGTTTCGAAACAAATTGGAAAGCGACAAAATGAGAGCAATGATAGAGAAAAGTGAGCATGACTGCCATTCCAGTTGAGTGAAAAAGCATTTCTTTGTGATATTACCACTCCAGTTGAATGAAAAAGCATTTCTTTGTGATATTACCACTCCAGTTGAATGAAAAAGCATTTCTTTGTGATAGCAGCTACTTTTATTCATATTTCGTGGACATGGTCGGTAGATTCCATTATTCTATTATCTGACACTACCTGCTCATACCCAATTATTCATCTTTCTCTTTCTTAGCCATAACGAGATTCCGATGATATAGCTAATGAAAGTGATAAAATACAGCATTGCTGCTTAAATAAGTGAAGATTGGCATAACCTTTCATATATCTTCGTTCGCGAAGCCTAATCAAACGACGATGACTACTCTAATGACATGCACTGAAATTGACGCTAAGCACGATCTTATCAGACATAACCGAAACAACTATAGCATCACAATACAAGACGATACTGATGTTTTAGCCAACGATGGATAGATGGATAGAAGTGTAGAATCGACGTAATGCGCATCTACTTGTTGGTCGATTGCTCTTGTGGTGCTCTTTTTATCTGTCACCGATTTCTCCTCCTTCTTCCACCCGAAATATATGGCACCTAAAACAATATCAGTTACATAACCAAATATCAAATAGTAATGCAAAACTATCCTTCCATCAAGCATATGAAGATAATCATCACGATTTATGAATCATTCACACATTCTTCGCTTCAGGAAACTTTTTGTGATTTTTACTGCTTCTACGCTTATCAAGAATTGATAACTAGGAAATGAGTTGACCAATATCCTGATACTTTCCTTACCATACACTCAGTAATGCAAGGCCAAACAAGATTTAAATTGATATCAGTTCTGAGTAGCAAAACACATGGAATGGATTGGAGAAATGGCCGTCGGGCTAATGGCTAAAGTAAATTTGATGACTAGGAAAAGACATTTCCGGAATCAAATGGGTTATTAGAGGCTAATTGCATGGCATGCATAAGGCAATTCACGCTTTGGCTATTTCTTAAAGCAGATATATTTTGCGCTAAAAAAATTTTAAAAGCTTCATCGGGCTTTATTAATATTATGCAAGCCAACTTAATTTGCCATCATATTTCAAATTTTCCTATACCATTCCTTTACTGCTATCAATAAAAAATACCACACAGATTACTTTTTCTATTCATAGATATGTTTGATGGAAGGATAGTTTTGCATTACTATTTGATATTTGGTTGTGCAACTGATATTATTTTAGGTGCCATATATTTCGGGTGTAAGAAGGAGGAGAAACTGGTGACAGATGAAACGAACATTACAAGAGCAATCGATCAACAAGTAAGTGCGCATTATGTTGATTTTACATTTCCACTCATCAATCCATCGTTAGCTAGAATTTCATTTTATATTTGGCATTTTATACAGTTAACATTATTTTGGATGCCATATGTTTTGGGTGGAGGAAGAAGGAAAATCGGTGACAGATGAAAAGGAGGCGAAAAGAGCAATCGACCAACAAGTAAGTACGCATTAAGTCGTTTCACACTTACATCCATCCATCCATCGTTGGCTAAAACATCAGTATCGTTTTGTATTGTGATGCAATAGTTGTTTCGGTTGCATCTGATAAGATCAATTTAGAGTCAATTTCAGTGTATGTCATTAGAGTAGTCATCGTCGTTTGATTAAGTTTCGCGAACGAAGATATGTAAGAGGTTATTTCTACTTTTACTCATTTAAGCAACAATGCTGTATTTTATCGTTTTCATTAGCTATATCATCGGAATCTCGTTATGGTTAAGAAAGAGAAAGATTAATAATTGGGTATTAGCAGGTAGTGTCAAGTGATGGCATAATAGAATCTATAGAGGTGAATGAAGGACGCACAAAACGGTGTTTTGCGTTTTCATATTGGTTAGTATCGAAGTGGCTGAGACATTTCGTTTGTCATTGTTGTCGCTCAGGTAAGTAACTCGTTCTTTTTATTCATCTCTGATGTATTTTAGACGATTCATCCGATTCATAATTCATGAAGACGATTGATGAAATCATGCTTAACTGTAAGTACAGAAACGAAATCCATGAGGTCAAACTATGAAGCGAGTTCATCAGATGTGAGCAAATTTCATCGGAAGCGATGGAAGTAATGGTCTTGGCGGTTATTTCATTCACGGAAATTCTGAGCGTCTTCATTTAGTGACAACGAAAGTCGACACTTCGCTGTAATAGTTGCCTTGTGTCTGCACATAATTTCTCATACCTAATTTTACTTCACAAAAATATTTCATGTAATTGGCAATTGCTTTAGTATCGTCACGGAATATCCCGAAACATCGGCAACTATCGGCTATTGCAGGCGGGAATCGTTTGGTAACTTCTGGTCAGAAGCAAAATAACAAGGTTGTGCCATTTTATTTCAAGTAAGTATTTTACATCTATGCTTATATTTCTCGCACCTTTAACAGAATAGGATCAATTCGTATAGCGAGCTAAAATTTATCGGTACTCGGTACTTTCCTTAATACCTTCAGGATTTGCGAGCGTCATTTGCAGTTGGAACCATTGTGTTGCTTGTCTTCTTGTCTTATTCGTGGAGGTTGTACGGCCGTTGCAATCTTCGAATACACTTACATCTGCATTACTCTCATTGCAATTATATTACGCTTACACAGCGGTGGACTTTCTCAGTAAATTAATATAATTATTATTTCAAAGTCAAGTATAAATTGAAATCAATTGATTAGACTTCCACCCAAACGCGTCAGTGGTGTAATGGTCAGCATGGTTGCCTTCCAAGCAATCGACGGGGGTTCGATTCCCCCCTGACGCATCTGAGGTAACATCTTCCTTGGCTCAACTTTTTCAATAATATGTTGTAGGTTGTGGCCACCACTCAGAATGTCCTATAACTCAATTGTAACACATACTATACTGCTTTATACCATGTTGGTTTATGACTTGGTGAGTATTTCGAATTAAAGCTTCCAAGCGAATATGGCCATGATACTTGAGAGCCTACAACAATACAGCACAAATGAAGTGCCCAGGGTGAAAGACACCTACAGTAGGCTGATTAAAAGAAATAATTGAAGACTCTGAATAGGCCATGTGGCTATTTTGATGGATAGTTGTGTAACACACTGACAGCATGTTCAATCGATTCCAAGAATGATAGGTTTCATTGTGTGTTTAAATGTCACTAATAATTTACAAGTGAATGATCACTGTCAGGTAATCGTGACGATGGCCACTGGTCTTCTTCGTGCGCTCTTAACTTTTGATAAACAAATCGTCCGAATACACTTATATTTCGATTATTTTGCATTAACATTCAATGTGATCATACTGCTACTATTCCTTCCAGCCTTATTCTTACCAAATTCTGAAGCTCGCAATTTTGCTAATATATTATTGACTCTATGCTTTGTGACTCAAATACCACTACAAATCTGGGCAATAACAGTGTTACGTTCATGTCTAGAATTTTTCGCTTTGGTGCATGTATTGGTTGAATTGGCTGGAAGATGATTTATACACGAATGGGATATCTGAGGATTGATAGTATTCCCAGAACAAAAGGTTATGATATCTTAATGATCCTTCTTTTTTATTTAATGCCCGTATGTCTCTCTGCTTGTATGTGTATGCATAATTTCATTCCTCTTCTCAATTTATAAATTTGAAGATGATTCGAATTCTCAAGAAATAAAAGAGACGAATAATTATTCGCTGTTTTTGCTTACTCAAATAATCACCATGTAAATTAATTTATGCTTAGAACGAAAATGCTTACATCACGTCAACTAATATTAGCTGTGTGCATCAAAAACTTCCCCTTTGTTTTTTTTGCTTTTTTTTGTGAAATTCACAAAAAATGAATGCATTGTCGAGATAACAAGAAGGGAAAGGGCACCACCATGTAATCACATCTCATTATCAGAATTTATTAATCACGACAGATCAATATTACAGCATGTTTGTAGATATGACATTTTATTACTCGGGGGTTACCAGTATTCCGTCCATATTGTAATTTATTTATTAATCAGCAATATTAACATTACAGTTTGTCCAGTTACAGTAGTTCGTCAAAGCTACTGGCATATCGTGAAACGTAATGATAAAGAAATAAATGTTGTTTATCGATCATCTTCCTACGCTTCTTATACTACTTCGCTAGATTGATGAATCTCTCAAATTTAGTACTTTTCCTTTACTCGCTTGTAGATCTTCACAGGAAGCTAATATTATACATTACAAGTTTAACAAAAAATAGTTTGGCATAATATCAATAACCAATTCATAAATGAGAGTTGAGGTATTTTTTTTAACAAGCTGTTAATAAGTACAGTAAGTATATGACATTACAACGGTAACAAAAAAAAAAAAAAATAGAAAAAGAAAAATAAACATCACTATTCATATGTTTAAAGAATTCGTTAAATAAATTAGTCAACCAAATATATCTGAAAACTAGTCTAATTTACGTTAAAAT